AAAGATAAAAAGGTGTCATTGAATATTATGGGTGATGGTCTGCACAACATTTTCTTATGACTTGCAATCAAAGCTAAACAAAAGGAATATCTAGGGAGTATGATGATTCTAGTCTGAAAATTGCCTAAATCCTAAATAATGAGCAGGCATATAAGCCAGCTCAACTGAAGCAGTATTTTTTTGTATAGTAAATCTGAAGTATAAGGTGTATGACAAATAAGTAAGATGTTACCCCAGTGTCTGTCTCCTTTTGATAATTTCAATATAATTGATAGTTTCTTTTATCTATTATAATTTTTTATATCTTTTGGTTGAATGCATATGTTATTCTGTAGTTTACAGTGACCCTTCTTGTATTGTGCTTGGTGTTACGCATGGCTATCTCCAAAGCACATAGCTGGTATGCATATAAAAGTAGGCTTATATAATCCTCAACACCAGGTAACCCAAGGGCTTCTGGTGGCTGTGGATATATTGGACTGGTTTGCCTCTCTCCTCTAACCTCACTCTGGGAAACCACTACAAGAGTAATTTAGCCTCCCTCTACAAATGTAAACCTAAATTACTGACCCAGACTGATACACTGGGTTCTGGGAAGCCAATCTCTAATGAGCCAAGCTAGATCAGAACAGTCAACCTGCAGAAAAATATCTCATCACCACTTCACACTCGCCCCAGGGGAAAACATTGCTCAAAAACCAATTTTCATGGGTGCATCAGTCCAATATACTTGATTTTCATTTATGAAAAAATACCACAAGTTTCCCTGACCACCCACCAAAAAATCAATATCCTGAAGCCTCTCCTGAGGATATCATATCTTTTTCACAGGATAAGATTGGTTGACCTATTCTGACTAAGCATTTTTCATATAATGCATGAAAAGGAACAATGACCCAGCCCTAATCAAGCCCTTAGGTAACCTATGTTGCAAACTACCAAGGCACCAGACTGACCGTGTCTGATACAAACCATGCTTTTAAAACAGAGCAGCATGATTTTAAATACTGCACAGGGATGGCTTTATATATATACTAAAGATACATGATTGCCTTACAGCAGTGGTCTTCATTGCGCGGCTCGCAAAACAGAGTGAGAGAGAGAGAGAGAGAGAGAGAGAGAGAGAGAGAGAGAGAGAGAGAGAGAGAGAGAGAGAGAGAGAGAGAGAGAGAGAGAGAGAGAGAGAGAGAGATATGACGCTCCTTCCGCACAGGAACTGTATGTGTAGGTTACGTAAAATCCAGTGCTCGGCGACCCATACTTTGCCAGTATCAAAAATATGTAAAAAATATGTAATTTAGTTTCTGTATATATTTTGTTCTGCTAATACTAATCCTTGTAGCTTACAAGGCATGTGGCTCTCAATCTGAATATGCCCTGAACTTTTGGCTCTCTTGAAAAAATTAGTGAATAACACTGCCTTACAGGAAGACATTAACACATTTAGGAATGAACTATTTTGTGAAAAAAACAAAGCTATCAACTTTACAAGCCAATATATTTGCTTATTACCTTAAAGCATGCTCTTGATCCACCTCTACCTCCTCCTCTACCACCTCCCCTGGATCTTCCTCTGCCCCCAAAGCCACCTTCACTCCCGAAGGGGTCATCAAAGTTCTGAGAACCTTCACCAAAGCCCCGTTCTCCATCACCAAAGGCACTGCCAGTGTCAAATGCTTTCTTTGAGCTTCCAAAACTTGTTGGCAGCCCAAAGGACTCTATATTCCAATCACATGCAGGGGCTGCATCTGGGGAGAGCAAAACATAATAGACACTTAAGTATGATAAAAAAAAATTGTCGACATTCTGAATAATTAATTCCAAAATCAGCAGCAGGAGAAGAGAAGTGAAGAGAAAGAGAAAGAGAGAGAGAGAAAAGAAAGAAAGAAAGTGAGAAAGGAACTGTACCAGATTCATCCCAATCATCTGACATGGCTGCGGGCTTGGACCTTGCTTCTACCAATTTCTGTAAATGAAAAAAAACTATTATTAATGAACTTGTGTGCCACTTGACAAGTGTGTGTTGTAATTGAATGTTGTTTAAAGATTCAGTAAGCTGGGTATGGTGGTACTTTACAAGATTCATGCATCATTTGTAAGCCAAAATAGTTCATTTAAAACAAACTATAAAACAATTCAACAATAAATTATAATTACAATTGAAAAATCAATGAATGCATACTATTAACAAACATGTTCCTTTGTTTCCAATTTGGTAACACTGATTTTATTAAAATCATAAATCTATAAATATCTCATTGTTCACTCTCTTAAACCTGATCATGTTATTCTATCCAATAGTGCAATAATAATTTATATTTATGTATACAAGATCCCAGAAGCAAAATCCCTTAATTCATGTGGTTATTTTGGGCAAAGTATGAATGAAAGACTACTCCATTCCAGTGCTTTTTCTGTGGTCTCGAGCACTTAACTGAATGCAAAACCCATTACTGTGACATGTTAACTTGCTTGTGTATTTCTATGCATGTGAAAATAA